TTTAATATGAGATTTACTTTCTTTTAAAGTCATTTGTAAATGAACAAAACATTATCTTTGCAACCCTTCCATTTGACATTCATTTTCATGTTCTTTGCAGTATTTACTCATACACTAGACATTTTGAATTTTTTTCATACATACTAATCAGGCAATAACAGCTGTTTTATTCTGGGATTTGATGTTACAGGATGTTATTTATCTGTGATATGATTATATACTTGTGAATATATAACATGAAATATATATATGATATACATAACAACACAGAATTTCATGTAGATACTGGTTTATATACTTTTTCTGCTTTTGTGACCCTATTTTTAAAGTGCTATATACCTTTTATAAAAATGAGTTAGATATTGATTTAAAACAATTATCAGTGCCTTTTTCATTTGCTTTTTGAAAATATGACATTTCAAATTATTATTGTTTTGTCACAAGACATAGTTTTGATTTTATTATATGTAAACTAATTTTTCTTCCTGATCTTAAGGTGACATTCTGGATTTTTTTTCTTAAATTCTACTGAGAAAGTATAAGTTGACTATAGACTTTTTCATAGTAGAATTTAAAAATTAAATTGTGTGTCATATGTCATCAAACTCATTTCCTTACTTGCTACCATAGAGAAAGTGTGTCTGAGCTTCTCTGTTTTATTGATACAGTCATATCCTCATTTGTGCTATATTACATAAATTACATGTGGCCTTTATAGTTATATGAAAGATATGTTACCAGCCACATTGATCTCTATGTAAATTCATTACATATTTCTAGTTAGGTTGCACAACAAAGCCTACTTGCTGACTAGCCTATAAATAAAGATTCTTTAAATGCATTTGGAACAATTTTGCCTGCTTGTATAGAGTGAATGACTGCTATATGTGGTAACCTCAGAAGCTTGAGGAATAGATTTCCTGCCTTTTACAGCAAACATTTACTAAGGTTTTACATTCACATTTGTAATGCCATCCGTTTTGATTTAAAATCTGTCATCATTGAAAGAATCGTAGCTGGTGAGTAAGGAATTACTTTCGTAAACTTGAGACTAGAAGAGGTCTTATAGATGGACTAATTGTACCCCTTCATTTTAATTACAAGGATACTGAAGCCAGAGAGAAGAACTGACTTGGCCAAGTAGATATAGAGAGCTGAAGTGAATACCAGACCCGTGTAATCATCCTATACTATGTCACTCTGCTACTGTACATTGGACTTGTAGCTTTTAAATGTGCTCATTATTATACTTGTGCATATTCTGAGTAGAAATCCTACTTCTTATGTGTTTCAAAACAACTCGTAAGAGCGATCAGCATTCCAAAGGCAGTTTTGGAAAACTAAAAGTGTGTTGTTATTTCTAGTTTTGTGTTGAGTTACTTCTCACTTCTAAATTAAGACTTACTTTGCACTAAGATTTCTTTAATGCCAATACAAATCAAGTATATTGCCAAAAGAGGGATTGTGATAGAAAATATGTTTTCATTAAGTCTTTGGCCATTTTTAGCTCATTAAGCGTTTAAGCAGTTGCTAAATGAAGTCAAAGGAGCATAATTTATAAAAAGATAGAGTTAGGATTTAAATTTTTTTTTTGTTCAGTTACAATCTCACTTGGTGCCTGTGGGAAATGTTTCCACTTGTATTGCATCTTCCACAATCTTAGCAATAGTTGTCAATTGGTACTAACGAAATGTAATACTTTTAGGAAAGCATTTGCCCTGCATGATCTAACTGGTGGTCGTTGTTGGCCTGTATTGAGCAAGCTAATTATTTGGAGAAGTTTAAAGTCACAAAGATGCAAAGAAGAATTTTACATAATTGAATTTTAGTAGAACTGTGATAACACGTTCTACATGTTTGATTTTGAGTTTACCTTATATCCTTAAGGTCTTCAGACTTTTTGCTCATTTATCCCTTGAACACTTTACAAGTTGACATACACGGTTTTTCATCAGAAGAGTCAAATAATTGCAAAGAATATAATTTCTAACATCATAAATATTGACTTAGAGTAAAACTATAACATTACTCATTTAAATGTATTCAGTGGAATCTAAGTACCAGGGATCTTTGATATCCATCACCTATTTAAAAAAATAAATGCAAATAGAATTGTTTTGAAACTTTCTAGGACAATAAGCTCCTAATTATCTAAAATATTCTTCTGGATTTAGTAATTAGTGCAATTATTTCTACAGAATTAATCTGTCTTAAATATATTACTGTTTTGGTAAATATTAAACAGAATAAGTAAAATTTGTTGAAATGTGCCACTGAATGAAGTAGGAGAGGTGGAGCTGAGCATCTTGTATCCTCACACACATCCCCGTTTGAATGCTGCTGACTTAAGTGACTGACTGTGCCTTCTGCAGGATAGAATCACATAATATAATTTAGTGACTAAGGGCAGACACTCTGCAGGCAGACCATATGGGCTTCAATTCCAGCTCTGAGTCCCAATTCTTCCTTGTGCTAATTGCATGACTTTAGGAAATCTGTGTAACCCCCCATCCCTCTGTTGTCTCATCTGTAAAATGAGAATAACAGTTTGCTGTTGCACAGGTAAAGTGAAATAATACTTGTAACATGCTATATATGCTCGTAATATGCTATAATACTTATAACATAATAGTGTCTGACACATGCATGTTAGTTGTACAGTCAACTCTAGATATTCTTTTAAATGTATTTTGAGAATTTTATAGATATATCTTAATGTGTTTATAAGCATTTCTCAGACAGATTTAAATAATTTGAGATTACCAATTGGTACTTCCCTTTCCTCTTTCCTGGTAAATCAGATAATTTCCCACATTTTATACAAGAAACTAATCAGAATTTCCCCATGAATATGTACACATAGATCAATTGGTATAGGAATGCATATCTATTTAAGCACAAGAATACTTAATGTTTGTCCGTGACAGTGAGACAAATTATAATTAACAAACATTTATTGAATACCCACTCTAAGTAAAAGTTGTATTTAACAAAAAGGAGAAAAATCGACTCTAAAGCTTGCCCCTGCAAAGGACTTACAAGATATATTAAGATTAATAAACAAATGTTGGGAATCATTGAATTTTACAAATAGCACAATCAGCAATCTCTGATTTGAAGAGAACCAAAATGAATTCAGTGATCTATACTAGAAGGTGACCTAGGTAGCAGGAAAAGTAGGAAGGATAGGGGAAAAAATAGTTATTCATACCTTAAATTCGTATTAATAGATCAATTAACAGTGTAGCCTCTAAGCAAAGTCAAGGTATAGGGATTCGAATTCAGCTTATTAATGTCTTTGTAAGAATTGTTATAAAACTCATTAATCATGAGATGATAATCTTACACTTCACTACTAGACATTTTTCCTAGCATAACCTGAACTCTCTGTTATGTTGGTAAGAAATATAATGATATATTAACTTAAGTATATCTCTTTAAAATATATGTCCTGTTTAACAGAACCAATAGTTTAGCCATTAAGATATTTTTCAAAATATACTTATTTATATCCAGGTTCATCTGCTTTTTCCCTAATAAACATAAACAAACAAAAAACTGGAAAATTGAGAACTTTGGCATGAGCATTTGTATTTCATGAGATTTTGAAATAAGAGACAGGATAGGTTCTCTCATATGGATTGCTGACCTTCGTAATTGCATACCCTGTTTAATTCAATAATTACGTAGGAGGATTAAGTCTCATCTCCACTAATGCTATACAGCATTTGAAAAAAGTTAACCAAAATAATTTTTGTTATGATGCTCATTATATCTTTGGAAATAATTAGTACTATACATCCCACAGTATCCCAGAACCAATGAGAATCATTGTTAAATTCATGTAAAAATAATACTTAAATAAGGTAGACCTATTATTAGGCCTTGAGTAATTCAGGAACCATCCTAAAATATCACTTCCTTTGGTGGGCCTGGGAGGGAAAAAGCTACAAAATTTGATTTTAGTTCCATGGTTATTAGAGTCCCTCAATTTATGCTTAGATATATTTTAGAATAGTTGAATATGGAATGAATTTTGATAATGTGAATCTTATTCTGATGTTGGCTTTCATGATAAAATTTGAACTGTCTTCCTGGAGTTTAAAAAAAAAAAAATTCTACTAGTCTGAAACTCTTGGAAAAGAAGTGGGTGTATCTTTCTCCCCCTACCAATATAGTGGGAGGAGAAATTTCTTGGTACTTACTGTTCTCTAATATATTCTTTCTGCCATTATTGTATCTCATCCCAAATAACAGGACCATAAGAACTTCTTTCATTTGGAGATCCCCTTACTCCTTTATTACAAAACACGGAACTCTTTATTCTTTCTTCACCTTTTGTGCATAGACCTGTAGGAGTTTTAACGGAGTTAGGCTACAATATTTTAGTTCCGTGAAGGGCCTTTTTTGTACATGATTTTCTCTAACATAAACATTCTGTAGGTTTCAGGCCCCATAACTCTGTAAATGCGAAAGGAAAGTAATTTGAAATTCCTGAAAATATTATAGACTGTTTTAACCTATGCCGTTTTATGTGCTTTCAAGTATGTGTGATTGTAACTAAATCAGCAGTGTTCTCCCAAAAGGTTTTTAGAGAACCCTGTAATTCATAGATGATGTGTTGTTAACTTATCAGCAAACATGTATAAATGGATTTTTCTGTCTGCAGTGTATGAAGTGTGTTCTCTTAGGTAAATACATACCTCACTTTCAGCCTTTCTTTACCCAGTTAATCTTTAGGAATGTCGTAAGTTATAACAAGCTCTTTTCTGTGAATAAATGATGTCTAAGATTTTCTACTCTGTTTTATCAAATTAACATCAACTGGTTCTTCTTGGGTACTTGTTGGGTACTTCTTTTAGCTGTTAGTTAACATATGTTGTAACTACCATGACTTGCTCAGCTCTCTATTATCCATAATACCAGCTTCATGCCTTAAGTATGAGTAAAATAGATTTGTGATGAGAAGGAACTCAAACTTTTTTTTTTTTTTTTAACAGATTTGGTTCATTTGACTTGCACATCTTCTAAAACAGCAAGAGAAGATTTAGAACCAGTTGTGCAGAAGTTGTTTATTCCATATACTGAAATGGAGATAGGTAAGAAAAATAATTGACTCATGATGGAAGGGTAATATAACCATCATAATCTTCTTAGATATATCATGAAAGTTTCTGCAACCTGAACTGAAATGTGATGTATTTAACAACAATTCGCATGTTTTGGTAAGATGGTTAAGCATAGTGTCTGCCTAAACATGTAGGAAAATGTTCACTCTACAATGTTAAAGGAAATATATGCATCATACACACACAAAAAAGCATAATTAAGCACAAAAATATACATTTATATTTATAGTTACACAGAAAAAGGATTGTTAGAAAATTTTGGTGGGATTATGGGCCATTTTCCTTATAATTTTCTTTATTTTACAAGTGTTGTACAGAAAGCATATATTCCTTTTTCAGAAAAATGTATCTTCCTTTAAGGAAAAAAGATTCAAGTAGATAATAGATTAAAATATTAATTGGCAGATATAGAAATCCTTTCCTATCTAATAGTCTTTTTTTTTTTTTTTTTTTTTTGAGACAGAGTCTCACTCTGTCGCCCAGGTTGGAGTGCAGTGGCGTGATCTTGGCTCACTGCAGCCTCCACCTCCCAGGTTCAAGCAATTCTCCTGCCTCAGCCTCCTGAGTAGCTGGGACTACAGGCGAGTGCCACCACACCCAGATGATTTTTGTATTTGTAGTAGAGACGGGTTTTCCCATGTTGGCCAGGGTGGTCTGGAACTCTTGACCTCAGGTGATCCGCCCACCTCGGCCTCCCAAAGTTCTGGAATTACAGGCGTGAGCCACTGCATCCGGCCTCTAATAGTCTTTTAATACATAATGTACTAGTGATTTAATAAATATTTAACTCCCAAAAGTGTATATGCTACTTATTCATAGAGGAAACACATTTTAAAATTTTCTCCCTATATAATAGGGTAGCACTTGCAGCTATGAATGGAGAAAATATGGCATATTTTCTGTGTAAATGATAAAAGAAGCCTTTTGAATTTTCTTTTATATGACATGAAGGTGATTTTTATTATACGATTTGCACATGCACTTGAATCTTGATCATTTTCTTCCATTGATTTATATGTCTTTTTTTGCATGTCACTTTTGTTCATGCAACCATTTATTTACTCATACCTATTCTGTTTCCTTGCAGCTCACTTCCTATGTGGGTTGCTTATTTTCTTAATGCAGAGATAGTGCATAGAGAGGGTTTATTTACATGAGAAGACAAACTGTTCTGTTCTTGAGGTTTTTTTTAATTTTATGGGTACATACTAGGTGTGTATATTTATTGGGTACATGATATATATTGATACAGGCATACAATGTGGAGTAATCACATCATGGTAAATGGGACACCCGTCACTTTAAGCATTTATCATTTCTCAGTGTTACAGTCATTCTAGTTATACTCTTTTAGTTACTTTAAAGTTCACTGTAAATGACTGTACTCACCCTGTTGTGCTATCAAATGCTAGATTTTATTTGTTCTGTTTATGTTTTGCACCCTTTAACCATCCCCACTTTTCCCTCTTCCTTCTCCATTACCCATCCCAGCCTCTGATAACCATCATCATACACTCTATCTCCATGAACTACATTGTTTTAATTTTTAGCTCCCACAAATGAGTGAGAACACATTAAGTTTGTCTTTCTGTGCCTGGCTTATTTCACTTAACATAATGAACCTGTTATGTTCTCAGGGGCTAATATCAATTATGTTTTTTGGGAGCTATCCAAATAAAGTATTTGAAAACTTTCAGTTTGGGAGTTAATTTAAAAATTAAATTATTTTAATTATAATTTATTAATTTGTAAATTACTTATATGTTTTCTTTATTGGAAAGTATCATATAAGCGTTTGGATTATTAAAAATTTGATTGCCAAGGTAAAACACATGATAATATTCCTAAATCTAATTTGGAGTCATAGTTTTTTCTTTTGGCTTTAATTACAACTATACTTTGTGTAGAAACCCTGAGTTTCTTAATTATTTCTGAAATTTTAAATAATTATTATGTTGTAACTTCATTGTGTGGTAGTCTTAATGCACTAAATATGAATCATATCATTACTCTTCACTTTTTAAATGCATTTAATTTTCTTTAAAAATATATCCAGCTGGGGGATATTACATGTTCATTACTTAGCATCCTCTATCCATTTTAGATTTTTAAACATTAATCTTAATAGTTAAAGTGATCCCATTTTTGAAATGATGTATTGTTTAGAACCTGAGAGGAATTCTTTGGTAAGAACTATGTGCTCAGAGGGGTCCTCAGGTGCACTGAGGCACTGAAAAGCTAGTTTTCACTGCCACATGGGCCTTTTTATCATCAGGATGAGGTAGTGGTCATATTTTAATTAAAATGTCAGAACAAATACTGTTGGAGTTATTGAAAATGAATCACCAGATAAAGTGAGCACTGGGCCATGGCAGGTCAAAGAGGCAAAGTCACCTGGAGAAGAGAACTCAATTCATTTTCCTGCCTAAATGAGGAAGAAGGAACTTTATGAGCAATATGAACTTTTAATACTTTAAAGCACATTCTTCTCTGTAGCAGAAGCCCCTATTTTCACAGATTGATGGCTTTTAGTATTATGTTTTGATTATTTGACATTCATGTAATAACTTATGCTTTACTGCATTGTAAATATTGTAGTTTAAAACGTGTACCAAAGGAATAACATTATTTGGGCTTATTTTCTTTTTGTTTGAGTTTGAATTCTACATTCTCTGTGCTTCATAATCCTCGGTGAAAGTCAGCCTAGTCACCTTTTAGAAAAAAAATCTGTATAATAGCCATCCTAGTACGAGTGAAGTAGTATCTCATTGTAGTCTTGCTTTGCTTCTCCCCCAATGATTAGTGATGTTCAACATCTTTTCAAGAGCTTATTGGCCATCTGTCTATCTTCTCTGGAGAAATATCTATTCATTGCCTTTGCACATTTTTTTTAATTATTATTATACTTTAAGTTCTAGGGTACATGTGCACAACGTGCAGGTTTGTTACATATGTATACATGTGCCCCTATGACAGTCTCCACCACTCTGCCGGTATTACCAACATTGTTTACTCTATCCCTAAACACGGCATGCAACTGTAGACACCATTTCTTGCTTTGTTGTTGTTGTTGTGCTATAGTTGCTTTTCTTCTGCCTACCCTATTCTACACTTACTCCAGTTTAATTTGCCCAGCATCCTATTCTAAATTGCCTATTACATGTTTAGTCCTTCTTACTATCAAATTGAATGAAATGAGCTACTGCGGAAAACCAGTTCTACCACGGGCAACTTGTGATGCACTCCTAGCCAAAGCTCAGCAACTTTAATATTTTTTGACAGTTCTGCACTTCAGAACTGCATGTTATTTTTCCAGCTATCTCTTTGCCTTCCAGCTGACCTCAAAGAAAGATGAAGCAGTTATATATCTCTTTAAGGTTTTAAGGTCAAAGTCTGATAATGCCCGTGTATCCAGAGCATTTATCTTCAGTCTGTGTCAGTTTTTCACCTTCCTCATAGTTTCTTTTCAAAGTTTCAACCTCTATAAAATTAGTTTAAATCTATTGGATTATTCATTTCCTCCAGCTTTTATTAAGTGGAGTGTTCCTTTGAGCTGGATCTTTAATGAGATACAAGATAAGCTCTCCTAGTACATGCTTAGAAATGGGCTGGGCAATATTAAAGACTTTCCAGACCTTAGCCCACTTGTTAGCAGTGCTCCCCAAGTCTGGTATACCAAATCATAGGAGATACATTTAAGTACCTTCCCATAAGATTTGTGTGACTAACTCACTAATCAGTTTACTAAGAGCCATATGGTGTTAGCTATAAAATATGAATTCCTTATGTTCCTTTATTTTGTCAATAGATTTAACCACCTAATATGTTCCTACATGAAGTTAGTGATATCTTAGATGACTCATAGATCTTGGCACTAGAAAGGGGCAGCTTAGGAGATCACTTCTTCCACTCAGAGTTTCTTCATCCTATTCCACTAATAATTATGGATTGATTATTCAGGATGAACTAGGAAAATAACTTATTTGGTATTCTTATAGTGGAGATACTGTAAATTAAATATAATAAAATCCTGTTTATCCTGATGTGGGAAATAGGGCTTTCTTGTTAATTGAATACTGCAATTAGGTAAAAATTTCTCTACATTGATTACCAATTAAATAATAGTTATTAATGAGATAATTATGCCTTTAGCATTTTCTTTATTATTCATGAGGTACTTCATGGTCTTGGGCAATCTTCATAAACATTCATTATTATTTTTGTACAAAATTTGAACTTTTGTTCAGATTCAGGCTAAAGAAAACTCTCTAGTCAATGAATGTATCCACAGCAATATTTTATGTTTTCAAACAAAGAAAATCTAATTATAACAATTTTAAAGAGGAGAGGCAAATAAATGATTGTCATAGCAAGAAATAGGCTTTATGCATTGAGATTAATAACGTTGGACCTTTTTACAAGCATATCGTACTTTGATCATACCTGAAAATACAATAACATCAATTCAGAAATTATTTACTGAGCATCTGTCATGTGCTAAGCCCTATATTAGGGAACCAAAAACAAGGGAGGAGAGTAAGAACTAACTCTACTTCATGTGTGTATCCCCAGCTCCTAGCTCAATGCCTAACACGCGTAATAGACACATGCTCTTAAATGAGAGAACATATGCTCAAAATGGCATTCACTGTTATGACTTCATTTTTGATATTTGTTGGTTGTCATTAATTTTTTAATCCAATAAGACAAAGCATTAGGATGTGAGTTAGGACAACAAAGTTTTAATCCTATATTTACTATTTTTGTAATAATAACTTTATCGATATATCATTCATATACCATATGATCCACCCTTTTGAAGTGTACAATTTAGTGTTTCTTAGTATATTTATAGAATTGTCCAAACATCACCACCATCAGTTTTAGAACATTTCTATCACCCCCAAAAGAAACGTCATACCAATTAGTGATCACCTCCCATTTGCCCCCAATTTCCTTCAGCCCTAGGTAACCTACTGACCCACTTCCTGCTTATCCTAGATATTTCATGTGTATATACTATTGAATTACTATATAGTTTATCAAGTTGGTTTGTCCATTTGAAACATAAGGAAATCAATTTATGTTGTCTTCTGTCTTTATAGGGAAAATTTAAGCATGAATGTGATCATAAACCCTTTGATACTAGTGAGAAGTAATAGAAGTCCAAAGGAGCACGATTGGAGTCAAATCTAATTAACTTACTCATCAAAATAGAGTGTGTAGATGCAAGTTTACTGATTGTTTACATACAAAGCTCTGATTTACTACAATGTCTAGTCATGGCTTAATCGGTAATAGGCTACACAGTGTAGTAATTGACAAGCATATTGTATTTTAGAATGTAAATAAAATTTATTTATATGTTTAGAAAATGAACAAGTAGAAAAGCCAAGAATTCTGTGGGCGCTTTACTTCAATATGAGAGATTCGTCAGACATCAGCAGGAGCTGTTACAAAGATTTACCATCCAACGTGTATGTCTGCTCTGGCCCAGATTGTGGTTTAGGAAATGATAATGCAGTCAAACAGGTAAGGCTGTTGATGTTTCTCAGTTTTGTGTTAGGATGTTGGTGTGGTTGGGAAATATTTTTTCCTCTGGGAGGAGAAAAAAGTCTAGAAAAGCATCTCTCAATACCATTTCTGTAATTTGCCCTAAAAGTTTTTTCTATGTAGCTTCTACAAAGCTACTTTAAATATACTTTAAATACAGGATCAGGTATTTTCACTTTCTTGAATAAAATGTTGAATTACAGATTTTTTTTTATGAGTTCCATTGTGGGAATAAGGATAGAAGATGCTAAAAATACATATTCATAAATAAGAATTTATAATGCCAGTATTCTAAAGAAACATTGTTTCTGATTTAAACAGTTGAACCATTGGTATATTATTTTGAAATACATAAATTATTTTTCTTGATAAACAGTCATTTCAAGAAGGTTGTAACTAGTAAGTCATATAAAATTAATTTTACAGTAGTCTTAATGCATTTTTTAATCATAGAAAAGAAGTTATAGTGTAGTTTTACATAGTTAACATGATTCCATTAATGTTTTGACACAAGTTCATGTCCCAAGAGGTACCATTACTGATGCTGAGGTCTGTTGTAAAGTAAGGTGGAAGTTTGTGATAGCCATCCTGGTCAGGGCTATGAAGAGGCACAGACTGATACAAGCTGCTAAAAGTGAGCCATGATTCCATTAAGCTGAATATTGGTATGTATATATAAATATACTTCTTTGCCCTGGACAGGACCAAAAAAACAGAAAATATTTTTTGAGATACATTTCTAAATTTTTCACAGGTAGAACTGGCACATCTGTCCATTAAGTCAATAAATGGGTAATTTAACATTGTTCTAAGACCACAGATGGAACTTTCGTTCCCACCAGTGATAAGGATCTTATAGTAGCAAATGTCCTGGTTGAGCCTGTAATCCAATTTTGAGTCGTGGTAGCAAAGCTATGTCTATGATGAATATACAAACATCTGCAGTTTTTTTCTAGAATTCTTGTTTATTTTCTTCAGTGCCTGATGGTGATCCTGTATAATTATATTCAGCCAGTGACACCAAACAAAAGCAGAAAGTCACATCCATCTCTCATCCATCATTCATTCTATTAGTTTAGTAAGAACCCAAGATGGCTGATGATCTGCATTTATAGCTTGAAACGATCAAGTCATTTTTACTTTGATGTTCTAATTTTTTGCAAGTAGAAATTGCCACCAAGTTTTTAGCAAGGTAGCTTAGGTCATTTTTATCCCTGAATGAACTTTAATATTTTTTAACCAAAAAAATTTAAGTAAGGGCTTATAATACAAGTACTAATGTATTCTAAACATCCGAACTGCATGCTAGAAGATTATAATTGAGGGATAATTTTATCATGAAGTCATTTGCTTCTCAAGAAGATAATCTTCCGAGGTAACATGCTGTAACAGTAGAAAACAGTATAGTGCTAATTTTGGTACTAATTAATATATGCTATTAAATGTAAGCAGTTTTAAATTTGTTGTATAGCTTTTAGTCTCATCAATTTTGGGGAAAATATTATGATGCCTACTTTTAAAGAGCATTGACAATATTTATAAATAGCTTGTGTATTCAGATAAACTGCATGCTAATTCCTGTGTATCAGCCTGTAATTATGTCAATCACTAATTGGCAATTTCTGATGATTGGTATTTTCCAAATGAAGATTATCCATAAAGGCTCTCAGAATATCACCTAGACTTTGCTTATGTAGACAACACAAGCCCATGCAGATTTCTTTATTTTTAAAAAACAAATGAAATACTTCATTTTACCAGTTGGCAAGGTGACATCTTTTCTTATTTGTAAAATGTATAGAGGTTGAGTAATGTAAACTTGACACTCTTGTGTTCATAGGGAACTATTTGTGATTTGAAGATGCACCAGAAACATAAAGTGATATGTCTATAATACCCACAAGTTCAAATTGTTTGCTCCTGGCCTCCAAGACATTCTCTGTTGTCACCACAAAACCAACCTAAGTGATAGTTGCGATTCTTTCTATGACTTGCTCATTTTTGTAGTTTATGTTGCTTCAGATTTGTTTTTATTTGTCTGAAACTGACATCTGAGATATCTGTTTTTCTTGGCAGATGTTGTGTACCATTTACCCAAACATACTGATGGACAGTTCCATAGTCCTCATTCCCAAGACATTGATGGCTCACTCCTTCAGGAGCCCCACCCTCTAGGAGATGTCACTACCATGGGAACAAGAATAAATAGTACCATACTCTTTGTATTTTACTTCAAGTATAAAATGAGTTAAATTGGCTGATGTTGGGCTGGGCTGGCAACCTAACCTCCATTTAGAACATGGTTTTATGGACAGATTAGCCAGTCACTTATGACGTTTGATACACAGCCCATTATTAAGTTGAGAACTAGCTGTATAGATTGAACTATCAGGTTGTTCACATACTGTAGTGCCATTTGTTTTCTCATGCCTTTGAGAGAGAGAGGGCAATTTTAGATGTCATATTTTCTGTAGCTGCCATTCATTTGAGCACTTTCTATGTGTCAGATTCTATCCTTGGCATCTCGTATATATTATCTTATTTTGTCCTCAAAACAATCTTGCAAGATAAGTATTTGTGATATTCCCATTTATAGATAAGGAAGCTACATCCTAAAGGGGCTAAATAACTTGTCCAGAGGTCACATAGCTAGTAAGTTCTTGAGCCAAGAATTAAACTCAACTCCTTTGGATCCCAGTGCTTGTATACTCACCCAGTGAGTGTTATATGCTACTTTCAGCTTATGAGAAGGCCTATATCCTAAAAACATTAAAGTACTATATTAATGAAATATTTATTTTTGTTTTGTGTTGATGTATGTTAACTAAACTTAGAAATATTTTAAATAATTCACTTTGTTCTCTCCGTACATCCCAGTGTGAGCACACCAAGTTACAATATAATTAGCACTTTCCAATTTTTTAACCACCTGAAATTTTTTACCCTTTGAGCTAACTTCTGGCTTAAAGGTGAAGAGGATGAAAAGTTGCCAATTAACTAGTCTGTGCTTAGAACTAGGTTTAGTTGGCAAACAAAATGCAGCAGACCAAGAAGCATTAGATACACTTTCCAGAGCATGGCAGTTGACCCTAAGAGGTTCCAGCAGTTAGAGAGAGGAGAGATTTGGGAAGGACTGGAGTCCGGCTATAGGAAATTGGCATCAACAAGGGCCAGGGCAGATGGGCTAAAGGTGGGAGTTTCATAAGCAGGTAGAACACAAGGAAGAGTGGTGTGGCAACTGGCAACTGGTGCTAATCTTAGGAGGCGGGTGGTGCATGACAAGATGTATGGAAGCATATGGTGTGGGATCCAGCCACAGAGACTGGAGTTAAGGGTAAAAGCTATTCTGTGGGAAGGAAGCAAAAGGGAGACAAGGTGTCAAACACAGAGGAATTGGCATAGAAGTAAAAGAATTCATAGTAATTATTATTATTATTATTATATTTATACTTAATATTTGTATTAAATGTTACTGACATTCTATTTTATGCCAAGGCACTAAGGATCCAGAGTTGTCTAAAAGTATTTGTCATCCTGGAGGAATCACTGTCAGGTAAAGGAGAAAAGCATGTAAACAAATGACAGTGTAGTGTGGTATATGTACTAATACATCCAAAGTCTAGAAATAATATAGAGGAGCAATGAGCCCAATCTAGGATTCAGAGAACCTTACAGAGAGGGGTATAATAGATGAGTAATAATTCTCCATCTAAATCAAAGAGAGTAGAATTGAAACATTCTGGGTGTAAAGAATAACATTGGTACCAGCCCAGGATGTAAAAAATAAGTGTCATGGTGTATTGTTTCATACAAATAAACAGGTATTAGTAAATCAAGAAGTCTGAGAGATGCAGGCTAGATGAAGTGGTATTTGATAAGATCAGAGAAGTTAGGCCTGAAGGGTTTTATTTTCTATAGTAGGGATCTTGGATTTTATCCTATTAGTGATGGGGAGTCATTGAAGAATTTTAAGCCAAAAATTGAATAAACAGAATTTTATTTTCCATAGACCCATCTGAGGGTGGCATGGAGATGGATTATATGGGGGGACTCTAGAGGCAGGGAGACCAATCCAATTCCGAGGCTATTGTAGTTGTCTGGTTGAAAGATGGTGCATGTCTGGGCTATGTCAGTGGGGAAGGAGCAGATGAAGTTAAGAGATAGAAGATAAAATTGATAGAATTTGATGATTGTTTGCATGCCAAGTGTAAAAGGGAGGGAGAACTTTTACAGATAGTAAAGGTAAAGATGTAAGACAAAAAAGACCATTAGGGGAACGGAAGTATGAGGTAATGGCTTTGTCTGACCTAGATCCCGCTTCTACAGGGACTGTGTTTCTAGCAAAGGAGTATGGTGAGTTCCCGGGATGGAGAGCAAAGATAGGCATCTGTAATGTTTAATTTCCAGATAGCCACAATAAAAAATTCAGTTAGCTATAGTTACCATGCTGTACATTAGATCCCGAGAACTTATAACTGAAAGTTCATACCCTTAAACCAACAGCTCTTCACTCCCCAGCCCCTGGCAACCACCCTCAACTTTTCTAGATTCTACATATAAGTGAGATCATATGGTATTTTTCTTTCTGTGCTTGGCTTATTTCACTTAGCATAATGTCCTCCAGGTTCATTCTTCTTGTCATAAATGACAGAATTCTTCAATTCAAATTTGACAAGAGAGCAGATTTTTAAGTATTCTTACTAGAAACACACACACACACACAGTGGTAACTATTGGTAGTGATGGAGGTGTTAACTTAATTGTGGTAATAATTACACAGTGTATATCAAATGACCTTGTACACCTTGAATATAAATAATTTTTGTCAATTAAGTATTTAAAAACTTCAAAGAAATTGTCTATAGCAATTGGCGTGTCCAAAAACATACCCTTGAAGGTTTTTTTATTCTGTTACCCTGTCATACTAATAAGTTCAGCTTGAATCTTGACATTTTACTTATGTTATTATTAGTAATAATGAAAATAGCTACCATATATGTTGGCTTAATTTCTGATATTTTATAGATAAGGAAGCCAAAGCTCAGAAATTGAGTAAGCATTCCCCAAATCACATAGCTGCTAAATCGTAGAGCCAGTATTTTTACTGAGGCTATCTTTTCAAAACTCATGTGCTTAAACAAGTGCTGTAGTCCTTAAAGTCCAGGAAATGGGAATTATATCAGAAAGCAAATAGTTGAACAAACAGTGAAGCGTTTTCTTCATTTGAACAGTGACTTGTTAAAATTGCTGTATGCTAAATTAGACTATACCAGTATCATATATAGGCTTGTATTAGTCTGTCCTCACACTGCTATAAAGATACTATCTGAGACTGTGTAATTTATAAACAAAAGAGGTTTAATTGACTGACAGTTCCTCATAGCTGGGGAGGCCTAAGGAAATGTAAAATCATGGTGGAAGGCAAAGGGGAAGCAAGGCAGGAGAGAGAAAGCGAAGAGGGAACTGCCAAACACTTTTAAACCATCAGATCTTGTGAAAAGTCACTATCACGAGAACAGCATGGGGAAAACTGCCCCCATAATCCATTCACCTCCCACCAGTCCCTCCGTAATACTTGTGGATTACAATTGCAAATGAGATTCGGGTGAGGACACAGAGCCAAACCATATCATTCTGCCCCGGACCCTCCCCAAATCTCATGTCCTTTTCACATTTCAAAACCAATCATCCCTTCCCAACAGCCCTCCAAAGTCTTAAAACTCATTACAGCATTAACTCAAAAGTCTATGTCCAAAGTCTCATCTGAGACAAGTCAAGTCTCTTCCCCCTATGAACCTGTAAAATCAAAAGCAAGTTAGTTACTTCCAAGATACAATGGAGTATAGGCATTGGGTAAATGTCCCCATTCCAAATGGGAGAAATTGGACAAAACAAAGGGGCCATAGGCCCCATGCAAGTCCAAAACCCGGCCAGGCAGTCATTAAATCTTAAAGCTCCAAAATCTCCTTTGACTCCATGTCTCACATCCAGACCATGCCGATACAAGGGCTAGACGCCCACAGCCTTGGGCAGTTCCAACCCTGTGGCTCTGCAGGGCATAGGCACTGTGCCTGCTTTCACAGGCTGGCATTAAGTGCCTGTGACTTTTCCAGGTGCATGGGGCAAGCTGTCAGTGGATCTACCATTCTGGGTTCTAGAGGACAGTAGCCGTCTTCTTACAGCTCCACTAAACAGTTCCCTAGTGGTGACTCTTTGTGGGGGCTCCAAGCCCACATTTCCCTTCAGCACTGCCCTAGCAGAAGTTCTCCATGAGGGCTCTACCCCTGCAGCAGACTTCTGCCTGGCCATCGAGGCGTTTCCTAACATCCTCTGAAATCTCTGCAGAGGCTCCCAAACTTCAGCTCTTGTCTTTTGTGTACCCTCAGGCCCAACATCACATGGAAGCTGGCAACGCTTGGGGCTTGTACCCTCTGAAGCAACAGCTCAAGATGTACCTTTATTCCTTTTAGCCATGGCTGGAGCTAGAGCAGCTGGGATGTAGGCTATCATGTTCCAGGGCTGCACAGAGCAGTGGGGCCCACCCAGCCCACAAAACCGTTTTTCCCTCCTAGCGAAGATCTCTGACATGCCCTGGAGACATTTTCCCCATTGTCTTGTCTATTGACATTTAGCTCATCATTGCTTATGCAAATTGCTGTAGCCAGCATGAATTCCTCCCCAGAAAATGAGTTTTTATTTTCTCCCACGTGGTCAGGCTGCAAATTTTCCAAACCTTCATTCTCTGCTTCCCTTTTAAACGTAAGTTCCAATATCAGACCATCTCTTTGTGAACACACATGACTGAGTGCTTTCAGAAGCAGCCCAGTCACCTCTTGAATGCTTTGCTGCTTAGAAATTTCTTCTGCCACATACCCTAAATCATCTTTCTTAACTTCAAAGTTTCACAGATCTCTAGGGTGGGGACAAAATGCCACTAGTCTCTTCGCTAAAGCATAGCAAGAGTCACCTTTGCTCCAGTTCCCAATAAGTTCCTCATCTCCATCCGAGGCCATCTCAGCCTGGACATCATTGTCCATATCACTATCAGCATTTTGGCCAAAACCATTCAACAAGTCTCTAGAAAGTTCCAAATTTTCCCACATTTACCTTTCTTCTTCTGAGCCCTCCAAACGATTCTAACCTCTGCCTGTTACACAATTCCAAAGTCACTTCCACATTTTCAGGTTATCTTTTAGCAGTACCCCACTCCTGGTACCAATTCTGTGTTAGTGTCTCTTACACTGCCGTAAAGATACTACCTGAGACTAGGTAATTTGTAAACAAAAAAGGTTTAATTAACTCACAAGACCACATGGCTGGGAAGGCCTCAGGAGAGTTATAATCATGTCAGAGGGTGAAGGGGAAGCAAGGCACATCTTACTTGCTGGCAGGAGAAAGAGAAAAGGGGGAACTGCTAAGTACTTTTAAATCATCAGATCTTGTGAGAATTCACTATCACAAGAACAACATGGGAACAGTCGCCCCCATAATCTAATCGCCCCCTAACATGTGGGGATAATAATTTGAGATGAGATTTGGGGGGGGGACTCAGAACCAAACCATATCAAGTCTCTATAAGATATCATATAAGCAATATTAAGGCAATTGTATTTCTTTCGATATATAGAATGAATGTGTTTCAGTTCTCAACAATCTGAACACTTGATAATGAACCTGATGAGATACTACCATCCTTGAAGAGTTGACCTGAATACATGTATAGAATTAAAGGGAGAAGTCATAGAATTCTGAAAACAGACTTATAGAAGTTCATGTATTCTGATAAAGTACTATAACCTGCTTAAGGAAAATTTTAAGGATAACACTTAATTGTTTTTAGTTAATGCCAGAAATGCACACACATTTTAAACCGATTTCCAAAAACGATTTATCTTTTCTTCCTTGGCCAGGCTGAAACACTTTTCCAGGAAATCTGCCCCAGTGAAGATTTCTGTCCCCCTCCACCAAATCCTGAAGACATTGTCCTTGATGGAGACGGTTTACAGCCAGAGGCTTCAGAATCCAGTGCCATACCAGAGCCTAACTCAGAGACTTTGAAGGAAAGCACAAACCTTGGAAACCTAGAGGAGTCCTCTGAATAATGGATATACACCGAACTGGATACCCAACTTTGGAAATTTCTACTGGTCTCAGAGTCTACTTGATAGAAGGACTGTTTGAAAAATGTTAGAAAGCAGCAACAATTATAAGGCAAAATAAGTAATAGAAATCCAAAAGGGGATTTTCCTTATAGAGGACGTTACAAGAACACACAACACTTACAAAGCACATTGACTTGCTCATTTTGAATACCAAACTTGTGTGACTAGCAGATGAAAATTATAAATCAATTGATTCTCAGGAATGTAACTGTGGATATGAAAGTGATCCTATGCATTGTTAATAATTCCATGGTCTTAGGACAATTTTGCTTACCACTATGGATCTTTATTTGAAAGCCACATTTTCAGAACCAGCTCACATATTTTCTTTGGTTATTTGGATTATATTTTCTTTATGGACAAGAGCATCATAACATAATGATAAAAACATATAGAAAAACTAAAGTATCATGATCTAGATAGAAGCCTGTATTTAGAATACAGGTTTGTTTTGTTTTGTTTTGCTTTCTATGTTGAGAAGCATTGAAAATGCTAATACAAAGGTGTTTAGACATTGTTAAGAACAAGTCAGTAGTGTTTTTTAGTATCAGTAGTGATATTTGTTTGTAAATTATTTACATATTGGGAAAGGTCAATAATGAAGAAGTGAAAGAATGGAAGGAAAGGTGTGGATAGGCTCATTGATATTTGGATGTTCTGTCTGTCAAATAACTAGAGTATTAGGCTAATTGTCTACAGACCTAATTTAATCCTGGCTGTACTTCTGATGATATGTGGTAAATTGTTTAACTTCTGAGCCTACGTTTCTCCATATATAAAGTGGAAATAGTATTACTATGCCTACTGTATGAGAATGGTTATGAAGACCAATGCAATGCCATGTTTAGAATGGGTTTGCCAGAAGAAAATCGTTTTAGAATTTTCCCATTGACTTGATGAATCTCAGAAGTCTCATGCAGGAAATAATTGCTTGTTGTCAGTCAACAAACGAAATAGATCACAGCATTTTTATTGCATTAAGCTTTTTAAATGAAAATTTCTTTTTAAATTCTTACTTACATAAATTCTTACATAAGTATTTTATATTCTTACATACAGACCAGTAAAAATAGTAACAAGTAGAATTGTGGTTTTGAAATATTACTAAGGAAAACACTCTATAAATTGTTAATATTCCTTTTCTGGTAGGTAAACCTGCAACCACCAAGGGCTCCAAATTGTGTATGACAGTTGGCAAGCCCTAAAATACACTCTACATAAAAATGTTAGGGTTGCCTGTAATCCCAGCACTTCGGGAGGCTGAGACGGGCAGATCACTTGAGGTCAGGAGTTTAAGACCAGCCTGGCCAACATGACGAAACCCCATCTCTACTAAAAATACAAAATTTTAGCTGGGTGTGATGGCGGGCACCTGTAATCTCAACTACTTTGGAGGCTGAGATAGGAGACTCACTTGAACCAGGGAGGCGGAGGTTGCAGTGAGCCAAGATTGTGCCACTGCACTCCAGCCTGGGTGACAGAGCAAGACTCTGTCTCAAAAAAAAAAGAAGTTAGGGCTGTACATAGGCAGCAAACCAAGCTACAGTGACGTTGCCTGTATTTAAATTTTCTCAAATGGCCAAGCTCTGATGGTCTACTTTATTTGAGTAATAGTTTAGACTTACAATTGCCTGTAAATAAACAAAAAAATGCACTCTTAGTTTTTTTGTTTTTTTGGTTTTTTTCCCGCAAGATCTGGCCTATATTGTCTGTCAGGAAGCCATGGCTCCAATGTAAAGTACATAGTTCTTACATACTTCAACTGCAGCTGGTCCCTGACCTCACCAGGTTTCAGAGATGTTCTTAAAGGAAGCCAGCTGTGACAGGTCACAGATTCATGGGAAATGGAAAGAACCAAGGAACGTAGCTCTTGCCTCACCTTTCTACCCACTGCAGATGTAGTTCAAGCCAGAATAATGGAAGAACTTAACTTACTAGCCTCTCAGGCTGCTCCTATCCCTACCTCCCAGTGTACAGCCCCTCCCCATCTCTTTAGTCCCCTTTCCTTCGCTTCCCCTTTTATAATGTCACATAAATCAGGGACAGTAGGATCACATTATAACCTACTTTGTCACAGGGATTCGATTTTTCTTACATCAAATCATGTTTCCTGAAACCCAGCTGGGGCGTATGCACTCAATGTCTAATACATACCTATTAATGTACCGGGTATTGGCCTTGCCCCTGGATGTCAGCAATATATTATAAAAGGTTCCAGTAGATGAGACGATTGAGTCTGAGTACAATTGCAGTAAATTCTGCCAATAAAGATATTGTACTGTTACGGTCTTAGAGTTAAGGCCACTTGAATGCAGTATGCACATTCATGTAAACAGACAATCAGGGTAGGCCTAGAATAACCACAAAAATTCTATTGGCCTTACTACAGCCGCCTATGTGTAGAACAGTGGAGGAGATAGTTTGTGGTCCATTATTGTACCCTGTTTCATCCATTAGCCAGCATCAGAATCTCTCAGGTCATTTATTAAATACGATTGAAATGTTTAAAAGTTCCTGAACATGATTCGTGATGATTAAAATATCATATGACTGATAAAAGACTTTAAGAACTTTAGCTATTACCTGTTACCTCAAAATGTAACAGAAATTATTCTTAGAGCTTTCTTTTTAGCTATCCTAATTACTGCAAATAAATATGTGTTCTTATAGTTTTAAATCTAAAAGAAAAATCTTTTGGTTTTGTTTTAAAACCTTAAACTTGAAGTCATATTAATAAAATTAATATATTGTACATAGTGGAAAATTTTCAGTAGCTAATTTAAAATTTCAAAAAATCTATTAAAGAATTTTGATTCATATATTTAAACTTTTTAGTTATGCATGCTTCTTATTAACCAAAAATGATAATACCATTCAGTTTAGTGATCAGTATGAGAACCAATACCTAATCCTTATGTTGCTGTTGTATTTTTTCCTAGTGGTGTGCCTGCTCAGAAAAACATATACTGTATGTGTATACATACCTGTGTATATATAAAAGGTCAATTTATATATTTTTCTATAGGAAAATGGAATAACAATTTCCCTACCTCCCATAATATATATTTGTCCATATTAAAATAGCCACATTGATGATAATTTCTAGAACTAGTTTCTGAGATTGTCAGCCCTTTGTCTAAAATAATGGCAGTATTAATGATTGACTTCTGTCACTGCCATAGTTACCTGGATTGGCAGCCTTAGTAGCCTTTGTCTAAAATCCTAAAGAGTTCCCAAAAAATTTGTTGAAATTTAATTGCTAAATAGTGGTTGGTGATTCTTTACATCAGGAATTGTAATAATTTTCTTGCAAATAAGTTATTTACTGCTATTGATATTGAAGAATTCATCTTTTACTCAGTTAATTTTATGTATTTCAAAAAGCATGAATATATGATTATTCATAAATTGTACACTTTAACAGTAAGTTTTCAAAGGAAATAAAGACTTTTAAATCCTTTTCAGGCATGGTGTCATATTTTGTAGTACTTACATCTTTTATATATGCCAAGAAGTTGAAGATTGCCTTTAACCTGATTTATGTTTTAATATTAGTCTAGTATGTAAATAGTTAATTGTCAAGCTGTATATTTGGTTTTGTTTTAAGGCATCTGCCAACTGTGTTAAGTTTGTGAGAAAGGCAATGAAATAATATAGGGCGTGAGTTACTTTGCAAACTGTTCTAGATGCCAACATTAGTGCCAATATCAAACAAAGGTGAATGAGACCTTTTTCTGTTTGGAATCAGTGCTGTAGAGGCTGTGCAGCATGGGCTATGAATTTATAGTACATTGATTGCCTGCAGACTGTTTTCACATCTCACTTACATGATGAGAATCTGAAAGGTTTTTCATATCTGCTTGGTAAATGAGAACCTGAAATGTTTTTCTTTAAGGGGTTTGAGTCCCCAGCAACTCATTTGCAACAGACAAGAGACTGCTGATGTTCTTTTTATGCAGAAATTATTCAATAAACTATGATTTGCTATTGAGTCAAATAAAGCAGACTGACACGTTTTGTCAATTTCAAGTAGTTTCTAAAGTTCCTCAGTAAGGAGACATTAAAAAGATAACAAGACTCTCAAAACTGGCAGTTTATCTGTGAGATTATTTATTAATCAATTTTAAGAAAAATAAGATTAATTGAATTTTTAAATAAATAGCTGTATTATCCTTCAAGCACCTTGAAACTCGTACAATATTCACACTTTAAAAAAAAAAAAAAATGGTTCCAGATGGTTGAATTTTCTTTAATGATGGCTGTTTAAAAATACTGGTTAAGTGATTTAACGCTTAGTATCCCAAGTCACATTTTGAAGGCCACTTTTCTTTCCATTGATGCACAATTTAGCTTTGGGGCTGCAATGAGATACCCTTGTGGTGTAAGTTGCCACGTCTGCTCTTTCTGATGATGACTCCTAGGACAGTATGACAGGTAATCATTAGAACCTGGATCCTGGTAGACTGTAGGGTCTTTTGGGTCTATCGTTGCAGGGGGATTTATGCTTGTAACTCCTATTAATGTTAATAGGACTTGCATGTGCAAATCTTCCTTCTGTCAATGAGACAGTTGACCCTAAAAGAAACATTCTTTAGAAGTGGACACTGTAGCTGATCTAGAAGCCTCAGTGAATTGTCCTATTTAGGATTTTTATGTGTGGGGGAAAAAAATGGAATGAGTGTACCAGCTTAGCAGAGTATTTTCTCCAGAGCTTGGAAAGATGAAATGCTAGCACTTAATTTTCTATTTCCATTTCTAAAATATGTTAGAAACTACTGCTCTATGTGTACTGTTAACATAGCATTTTTTTCTCTTATTTTTAAAAGTAAAATAATTTTGCCCAGGGTTGTGTTGAAATCACATTTTAATATGTTAATACTATCCTGAAAGTTCTGGAAATTAACATTTTAAAGCTATATAATAGGATCCAGTCTCATAACAATCAAGGAAATGCAGACAAACCCAGGAGATATATTTTGCTTATCAAGTTGGCAGAATCCCAAATACTGATAATAGCCAGAGTGGTAAGGACGTAGGGGAAAAGACCCTCATACATTGTGAATAAGAAAGTACATAAATAGGTTACAGCCTATTCAAAGGGCAATTTGGCAGAAACTGTCAAAACACTTTTTTTTTTTTTTTTGGCAGATTATTAAAATGACATTATTTTTGATATTTACAAATTTTTTCATTGCCACCTTTATCTTCACGCAGTTCATATGAAGGAGTATTACATGGGAATATTGCATGATACTAGGTTTGGGATATGAATCCCATCACCCAGATAACATAGTACCCAGGAAGTAGTTTTACAACGCATGTCCCCCTCCCTCTCTCCCTCCCTCCCCTAGTAGGCTGCATTGTCTATTATTACCATGTTGATGTCTACATGTGATCAGTGTTTAGCCCCCACTTACAAGTGAGAACATGCTGTATTTTGGTTTTCTGTTCCTGCATTTGTTGAGGATTATGGCCTCCATCTCCATCCACATTGCTGCAAAGGCCATGATCTCTTTTTTTGTTTTGTTTTTGTTTTTGTTTTTGTTTTTACAGCTGCATAGCATTTCATGGTGTGTAAGTACCACATTTTCTTTATCCAGTCTACCATTGATGGGCACCTGCATTGATTCCAGGTCTTTGCTATTGTGAATAGCACATTGATGAATATATGAGTACATGTGTCTTTTTGGTAGAATGATTTATTTGGCATCAGAAATGCAAATCAAAACCTATCAAAACTTTAAATGCAGATAGCCTTTGGCCAAACGCTTTCATTTCTAAAAACCTAGCTTATAGAATGTTTTGTACATGTACACAAGATACAAGGTTCCACACTATAGCTTTGTGGTTTTATTTAATTTTGGAAATAACCTATATGTTCATTAAATGGAGACTGGCTTGAATTGTTAATACATGCATTTAATAGTATAGAATACTATGCAGCTGTGAAAAATGAGGTACATCTGTATGAAATAGATCTCCAACATGTTTAAAAACCAAGTCACAGAATGGTAAGTATATATGTGTAAAAATCAAATCCTTGTGTTTATTACATATGTATGCCTATCATAGGAAATTTTTAGGAATTTACATACTAAAGTGGTAACTGATTATGTTGGGAAGAGATTAGTATTCGTAGGGGGAGAATAAAAAGACTTCTTTTTTTTTTTTTTTTGAGACGGAGTCTCGCTCTGTCGCCCAGGCTGGAGTGCAGTGGTACGATCTCAGCACACTGCAAGCTCTTGCCTCCGGGTTCACACCATTCTCCTGCCTCAGCCTCCCGAGTAGCTGGGACTACAGGCGCCCGCCATCGTGCCCGGCTAATTTTTTTTGTATTTTTAGTAGAGACGGGGTTTCACTGTGTTAGCCAGGATGGTCTCGATCTCCTGACCTCGTGATCCACCTGCTTAATTCTACATAATTGTTTTAGTTTTTCAGTTTTTTATAACTAGTAAATATTCATGTATTGTTGTATTTAAAATTTGAATCTGTTTAGTAATCCAACACCAAATTCTTAGGTGGCATGTGGGACCTCCAAAAATAGTGACTTCAAACATTGGGTTACACTGATGTTTTACAAAGTGCAGTTCAGATAGGAAAGGTAATAATCAATGAGTGACTAGTTACATAAACTATGATTCATCTCTTACAGTGGAGTACTATGTAGTTGTAAGATGGAATTAGGAAACTACTACTTATGTGATCACCAGAATATACTTTTAAGTGACAGAAGAATATACACAAAGGTGCGTGTATATCTTCATTTTGTGTAAGAAAGGGGCATTCCAAAACACATACTTAAGTAGTCACCTATTGTGAAAGGGAGGAGGCAGGGTGGAGGAATGGCAGCTAGACCTCCTTTTACCTTGTTTTATAGTTTTGACTTTGAAACCAAAATCAGTCCGTAAAATTTGAAACCATTAATAACCATGTATTGAGTTGTTGGCATAATTATATGTAGAATTAAGTGACTTTAAAGCATTGATATGGTTTGGATCTATGTCGCCACCCAAATCTCATGTTGAATTGTAATCCCTAATGTCGGAGATGGGGCCTAGTGGGAAGTGATTGGATCATAAGGGTATATTTCTCATGAATAGTTTAGTACAGTCCTCTTGGCACTCACCTCACGATAGAGAGTGAATTCTCACGAGAGCTGGTCATTTAAAAGATCTCTTTTGCTTCTGCTTTCACCATAATTGTAAGTTCCCTGAGGCCTCCCCAAAAGCCAAGTGGATTCCAGCATCATACTTCCTGTACAGCCTGCAGAACTGTGAAACGGTAAAACCTGTTTTCTTTATAAATTGCCCAGTCTCAGGCATTTCTTTGTAGCAATGCAGAAGTGGACTAATACAAGCATAGTGTTTAAGTATATATTGTAAGATATGGAGATGGGTAGAGAACACAAAGAAATCTTAAACTTTATTGAGTGGACTTGATGTTAGTGCTAATATTTATTGTGAAAGATAACATTGATGGGATTATTAACATTTTCTAGAACAAGAAAATAATATAAGAACAAAGATAAGTAAAAACCCTGTCCTCTTTAATTTGAATCAGATCAATGTATGCATATGTTCAAACTCATCAAATTGTACAGATTCATTATGTGCTGTGTTTGGATTTCAATTAACCCCCCCAAAAAAAAAAATCAATATAAACTCAAGATGCAGTTACTTCATTCTAAAAAATATATATTTTCTAGCTAGAAAATTGGCAAAGGCTACTGGTGTCAAGTCAAAAGAACATAAGAACCAATGTGAAGGAACTCCCATTGGTCATAGATAAGGCCATTTGAACATCAAGAGTGAATAATGATACTCCAAAAAGCAAACGAACCTCAGTGACCAGACATGAAGATTGCTAAGGCACTCTTTGTTCCAGAAACTAATAAGTAAAGAGAAGGAAGCAATTATCATATATATCCTGTAAAGACTGTATTTCAGGATATCCAAATAGTTGATAAGGAAAGTTCTTGTAGAAGAATCACAATTAATAAATGCATGAGGAATGATAGAATTAGAAAAATCACTGTTTTGTAAACTCAATATAGTATAATAATGTACCTAGGCAATGTTTATCAATGACTGCTAAAGCCTGTAGTTGAAAGGCATCACTCGAACCTACTGATAAAATTTAAATTACTACAAGTAGAAAGGCAGATGTTATAAGTTTCCTTGTGTGTTGAAATAGAAAGTATACAGCATTACCTAGGAAGAATTCTTGCCAAAATAAAAAATAAAATAGACCTAAATCTAATCAAGGCGTTAGCTATAACTATCAGCTTACAGGCATGAGGGGGACAGGAAAGCATGCTAAATGACACCATGAAGACACAACGTATAAAAGTTTACAGGACAAATGACCCAATTTTATCAACAATTAACTGGCACAGGAAAAAAAATGTAGGAAGCATTATTACGGACTAAAGGAGATTTTAGAGATATCAAGCAATTGCAACATG